TTAAAAATCCAGATTCCCTTGAAATGCTGAAGGAACTGACCATTCTGGGCTTACATCCCTGCCTAGGAAGGGCAGGCCAGAGCAGCAGCTGCCCTCTCTAGATGAACTCCCCACTTGGCCACAGTCCCCACTACTCACCACTGTTTCCCCAACCCAGCCTGCTTTCTTCATTTACTCCTGCTGAAATCAGTGAGCATTCCTAAGGTGGTCTTCTAATCACTGTACAATATATACTCTAAGATTCAGCTCATTCTGGTGCTCAGTTGGAAGTTTTTTGTGTTTTGATTTTTTTACTTCTCTCATTTTTATCACCATAGTCCAAGAAAACTCTTAGAAAGCAAAGAATGTATCACATACTTTGTGTCTCTCATACCATTCAGCACAAGACTAGGTACAATGTAGATAATCAACTTTCGTTGAATTGATGCAGAAAGTAATGAGTAAACACATGCACCTCTGTGATCATCCTCCATACCTGCCCTTCTTCCTCAAAACTCTACACTTTTGCTACTAAGAAGATGGATGCATATGCAATAAAAAATCAAGCACCAAGGTCAATCATTGCATTTCTATTTCAATTTTCTATCAGGTTGAAATGGAAATGGAAACTCTAAATAAATGCAGAACTGATCATCATGTCTGGCAGCAAGATGAATTGGAAGCCCTGGGATGCTGAGAAAGCCTGCAAATAAGATCACCAAACATTATCAGTGATCTTTGAGGGAATCGTAGAGAATAGGCCAGGCGCCAAAAAGCTGGAGTCAGGCAAATGTTCTAATTTTCAAAAGGGGAAAAAAGTTATAGTTTGCCAGTTCCAGACTAGATAATGTGATGTCACTCCCAAGCAAGGTTCTTGAACATATTTGTTAAGGACACTTATGAGCACCGAGGACAGGAAGTAATGTCCATTTGGCACCAGCATGGGGTCACCAAGAACAAGTCATGTTAAATTTATTTCATTTTCTTCTCTCTGACAAGGCTCCCAGGCTAGTGTATGGAGAAACACAGCAGACATAATATACATGGTACACTGAGGGAGCAAGCAGCACAAAAAGCTAATTCAACCCTTGGGCTATATTAATAGAAATATTAATATAAGACAGTAGAACAGAGGTGATAGTTATCTTCTGTCTTTGGTCACATCTAGAGAATCATATTTAGAACTCAGTGCTGCTCTTGATATAGGATACTGAAGTATAATTTTTTGGAGGCCCTTTTGGCAAAACCTCTTTAAAAACATAAAGCTTTCATCCAGATTTCTGGCATCTGTTGAAAAATTGAAAAATCTGACTGGGCCTACATTCCTAAACCTAAATAGCAATAACTGGTTGAACCCAAGTAATGACTGTCCATTTAGACAGGACATGTACTCTGAGGTCCGTCATAATCATCACCAACCCCTCTTCTACTGCCTGCACTGAGGTGGTGGGCCAGCTGTCACAAATCTTTCATGTGGCCAGCTTCATTCATTTATTCTATCTGCCAAGCACCCAATGACATTGAGGTTTGCAACCCAGGATGCAGTAGAGCCAAAGGAGAGTGGAGATGGTAAGTGGTAGCGAACCATCTTATCATATGAGGATAATCATTGTCAGGGGCTATAATCCCAGGCTCCACACACCCCATGGGCAGGCCCAGGGAAGAGGCATCTGTCTTGCTCTATGAAGTCCAAAGGGGAAGGAACTATGGAACAATAAGTAAATGAGAGACATATTCAATGCAACATAAAAAAAAAAAATGCTCACAAGGGTCAGGTGCAGTGGTTCACACCTGTGATCCCAGCACTTTGGGAGGCCACGACGGGTAGACCACGTGAAGGAAGGAGTTTGAGACCAGCCTGGACAACATGGTGAAACCCCATCTCTACTAAAAAATCAAAAATTGGCTGGGTGTGGTGGTGCACCCCTGTAATCCCAGCTACTCAGGAGGCTGAGGCTAGAGAATTGCTTGAACCTGGGGGGCGGAGGTTGCAGTGAGTCCAGATCATGTCACTGCACTGCAGCCTGGGCAACAGAGCAAGACTTTGTCTCAAAAGAAAAAAGAAAAAATTCTTACAAGAGCCAGAGATGTCTAAAGATGATAGACTATGTGGGCTTGGGAAGTGGTGAGTTCCCCATCACTAGAAACATGCAAGCATATGGTTTACTACTGCTTCATAATCAAAGGGCTTCGAGTATCTGATGAGGTGAGAAGAGGCACAAATCTTTCTTTCTATTTTCCAATAGAAAAAATACTGTTCTAAAACATTCCTTTTTGTTAGGTCTGTAAATTCTTGAAAAAGAGATAAAAGGGAGTAAGTCAACAAAGAACTCAGCACTGTTTTTAAAAATCAAAAGTTCCCTTCACAAAATTCACAAAGCAAAAAATCTATCTGACTAGGTGGACCGTTTGCATCCAACTGGCCAGATGATTCCCAGGGAGAAAGGTAATTGGCCTCGGGCACTGTTTTTGGTGACTGGTCAAATGTTCTTCAGAGGCATGCAACAAAGGCAATGGGATGAAAGTAAGAAGGTAAACAATGGAACTCCATCAAGAGGCTGCCAGTCCCCCCACAAAACTGCCATCTGCTGCTGACATCAATCCTTCAGGGGGCAGCTTTGGGCAAACAATGTATCAGGGAACACAAGCCTGGGAGAAAATCGGCCTCATGACCTTGGGCAAGTCATTTAACATTAACTGGGCCTCAGTTTCCTCATCTCTGAAACTGAGCTCACACTAACCCTACTGTACACTGTGTGGGCCAAGAGTCATGATGTCTGGGAATGAGCCATAGAAACTGCAGGGCCCTATACACACACCAAGAATTATGATGGTGATTGACACACAGAATTTTAAAAGAAAAGATTCCAGAGGGTTTCGGGTACAGCCATATCCTGACCTGAATCTTGTAGATGTCAATTCTAAAGGAATAAGATGTAACTCCTTTAACCAGAATCCAGAGAAAGGCAGTGTTTGGAGGAGACAAGATCATCTGGACACATTTCCTAATGAAATGCATGGTAATTGGTGCATTTCTGATGAAGCTCATGGTACTTGCTGATTAGTTGTTAAAATAAAAGATGAAAGGCCAAAAGCAAAAGGATCAGCCAGGGCAATTAATGCCTAACTGGCCCTGAAGAAAAGTTCACTGGCCCAGTAGCAGCAATCCTTCCAAAATGAGATAAGCACATTTGTTACCAAGAAAATGATTATAAAACCTGACCTGTCCAAAACTCAGCATCCCCTTCTCTTTCATGGCATTTTCCTGGCAACCTTAATTTTTACAAAATAATAATAATTGGCCAAATTCATTTTATAAGACATAAACTCCCTAAAAAGAGTCTATTCAAATATTGAAACTAGGCTTTGGTGTTGAGCAGTTGGGTGACTTCAAATCTCTGACCAATAAAGAGCTTATTTCTAAATTTACAGCAAGGCTGAGACATCATAAGTCGCTGTTTTCCACACTGAACTGAAAAACCAAAGACAGGGAACCAGGAAAGCACAGGGTTTTCTGCCCCTCTTGCCCTCGGGTCTGCTCAGAAGCGATGGGCACACTGGGTTTGACCAGGACTAAAAGGCAAAAAGACTGTTGGTGAGACTGGGGAAAAAAAAACAAAACAAAACAGAGCCTTCCCACAGTGGCTGCTCCACTCCCAAAGTTTCCCAAGCATCAGAAGCGTGTATGGCAGCTGTGGTGCCCAGCCTTCCCGCTGCTTTTAAGGAGGCCACCCGGCTCCCTGGGTCATTGGGTCTTCAGCTGCGGCAGCACCCAGAGCAGGTGTGGCAACCTCAGGTCGCTGGAGCTCCAAATACCCAACTTGCTCAACAGTCTGTGCATAAGCTCAAAGATAGGCCTTGATGTCCACTGAAGATGTATTTTGTCTTTACTCTTTCTAGGAGAGGCCACAACACACCCTGTGTCGCAGCAAGGAGAATCATGACCAGAAAGAAAACGGACACCAAGAGGCACGGGCCCAGGCTCCCCACAAGGCGCACCCTCAGAGAAAAGGGGAGCACAGTGGATGGAGCTTTTAGATTTTCCTTGCCAAAGCTGAGCCTAGAACAGGTATGGGTGGGAGAAGCCCCAGTCTGGCCTGAATGAGGACCAGCAAGCCTGCATTTAGCCATACAATTGTGTTCCCTTTCCTATTTCGCCTGGCCAGTGTGGATTTAGGGAGCGGCTTCTGAAAAAAGTATACACCCGGTGGCACAGAAGCTGCAACCAGCAGCCAGAGGTCATCTCGCCCTCCCGGCAGGCTTCTCCTGGAACCCCGGAAGCCAGGCAGCGCCAACCAGCCCAAACGGCATGCTGAGGTGTTGGCTTTGAATGAAAGCTGATGACCCTAAACACCAGGGCACAGAGTGATTGGGCTGCACACCGCGAGATAATACATTTTCTTCACCGAGCTTCCTCTTTATGCCTAAATGCCTGCATTAGTCTGGATCAATATGCCCCATAACAGTTAATCCATGGCAACCCAAGCCAGCCCAGAGACACCGACAAAGAAGTGCCGCCCAGGGATGCTGCCTCGCTGTGCACATGCATGTGAATTCCAGCCCAGAGAAAGAGGCGGAGGCAAAACCACCAACACCAACAGAAACCAAAAAGGGGGAGGGAAAAAGAGCAGATGGTAAGAAATATACCCCAATATTAAAGGGCTTTTACCGTGGCGGGGAAGGGGTAGAGGTAGTGACTGTCAAAATGGCCTTAGAGTGACATGTCACCGCCAAGATGATGGAGTACCGGCGACACTCCTAAAGTCAGGCGTAGGATCCTCCTCACACACCTGCAATGCAGAGACTGCTGCCCATTCCATAATCCACACTCCCAGCCCCAGCGCTATCTGCAGTTGAAACCAGTCCGGACTTGTGCGGCTGCCCCTGTTCCTCCTCACAAAAAGATTATTGATGCATAACATTTCATAATGGCAGAGAGGAAAATTGGGAGGGGTGGGGGGACCAGAGCAAGAGAAAAACAAAAGGGGAGGAGAAAAAAACTCTCCCAGCCAGCATCTCACCTTTTATTTGGGCTTCATATTCAGCAATGATTTCTTTGTCTTTCTTGAACTTAGTTTGAGATGACATCTTCCGATGTGGCCAAAGGAACTGACAGGCTGATTTATTTCTCCTTTTCTTTTCGAGTCCTCTCTCAAGCCCTGGTAATCACACAGCTCTGGTCGATTTCACAGGTTTAGGGACTAATCTCTTTCACTTGGCTGCAGACCAGGGAGAAAAATCCTTCTCCTTCTGGGAGGAAAAATCTCTTCACTTGCCGAGAAATGGCTCTAGTAGCTTGCTGTGGTCAGCTCCTCTTGCAAAAGAAGAATCACCCTAGGAGCACAGTAACCTGCCCCAGATTTTCAAAGATGTTTCTTCCAAAAATAATAATAATAGCCAAGAGCACTCACACCCACATGCAAACATACACACACACACTCACGCGTGCACACGCACACTCACCCGGACACACACACAATTGTGATGTGCACACAGGCATACACACACACCCTCACACGCACACACACTCGCTGGATCACTCACACACACACATCCACGAGAGGCGCGGCGCCTCCTTGGTCGTGCAGCCAGCCCCTGGCTCGCTTTTGAAGGCTCTGCTAAGTCGATGGTCAGGTTGCCAAAGGGCCGGTCATCTCGCATCCTCCCTCCCTTCGGTGCCTCTGGTCTGCTGTCCAGTGAGGATCAAAGCCAGGAGAGCGAGATGGAAGTTTTCCTGCTGCAACGCTTAAGCTCCGGTGAGCCCAGGGCTGGACTGCTCGCCCTGCAGGGCTGGCTGAGCTCTCCCCCACCGCCTACGTCACTAGACTCCGCCTCCCGGATTTTATAACAACTGACACATTGTAGCCTACAGGAGAGCAGAACTCACTGCAAGCAAAAAGGGGAAGAAACACTCACAAAAGGGAAGGCAGCAGGAAAAATAATCGGGTTAGTGAGGCTTGAGAGGCTTCTGCAAACTCCAAACATTAGCACTTGGGTTAGGGATTTTTCTTCCAAAAACTAAAGATCCTCCTCCCCCCCCCTTGTTTTTTGCACTGTGCAATTTAATTCAATTTCTGGAATCAACGGCTATATGATGGTTTGTCACTCTGCTGGGAGAGTCTAGCAGAGGGCCTGACCCATGTAGGGAAAAGCTTCAATATTTGTTGAGCAGTTACTTGGTGGCGGGGGCAATGCCAGGAGTTAAAGGCATGCAGCTTAGCAAAGCCATGCAGAGCAGGCAGGCTGGAGGCAGAACAGCTGGGTCATTGGCTTGTGGGGCTCTGGGCAAATTCATAAGTCAGTTTCCTAGACAGTAAAATCAACTCTCTTTGGATGCTCTGTTATTCATTCTTTCAACAGATATTTACTGAATGCTTACTATAGTTCTGGCACCATTCTGGGTACAGAGATACAGCAATGATCAGAACTGGCACACACACAAATCCCTGACCTCCTGAAGTTCCCAGGGCTCCACATCACACAATTCCAGGAGTTTCCACCATTCATGCTAATATTCTTAGTAGAAGCACTCTTGGAGTAGAATCCATTGTGAATGGTGCCCCCTGGAGTTGTAGGAGGAAAGAGGCCCTGGGAGAGGAAGTAAAAAAATAAGCATAATCAGTATATTATATAATATCATACAAAATGTTAAGTGCTATGGGAAAAACAATATTGCACAATAAGGGATATCAGGAATGAGAGGAGCTCTTGAGAAGATCTAAGAAGAATGCAAAGCTAAGCTTAGCACAGTGTCTGGTGCATAGTAAGCACTCAATAAACGGCAGCAATTGTTATTACCCTTTTATAACTCCCAACAACTAAGCAACGTAGGTGTAAGCACCACTTTTTCACAGACAGAGGAGCAAAGGCTCAGATATGGGAAGTGACCTACCCAAAGTCACCAGCCTTCCCACCCAGGCTGTCTTACACCACACTTTGCTCAAAGTCTCCCGCATTCTACAAGGAAGACCAAACCCATTTCATGTGGAGTTAAAGTAGAATAAGATTTCTTCTGTAAAAATTGAATCAAGCACTAGAGAGTCAAGGAATTTCATATGCTAAGATAGTCACTAACATGTATTGGTCCCTGCATGTCTCCTGAGAGAAATGTTCCCAAATTTCTCAAAATAGATATAGTCTTCCATTTGCCTTTTTCTGAGTATATAAAAAATGATTTGGTTTGGACTCAGAAATGAATAGATTATCCAGGTTAGCCCATCGAGGTGTCCTAGAGGAAGTGGCAGGTGCAGTGGGTGTTCCCAGGCAGGCATGGCAAGGGGAGTGAGATGGGGCAGGATGTTCTCCTGGAGCACGCAGAGTGAGCTGGGGCCCACAGGTGGCAAAGCACAAGACCTGCTTGGAGCAACCACAGGAAGAAGTCCAACTGGTGAATCATGGGATTTATTATAGCCTCATGCCAGGAGACAGGAGGTCACGGAGTTCAGAAATAGATGCCACTGGCCCACAGCCCTTGCCATCATCCCACTGCCTCACGCCTCCCCTGGACACGTCCAGGCCCTTTGCTCTCCTTTTCTAACTAGTTTAAACCCGCAAAAGCCCCACGTTACGTGAGAAAGATAGGCACAGAGATTAGCATCCCTGCCACAAGCCTAGATTTTTCAAGAAAAATGAGCTACGCCTTGGAGTGCAACAGACTGGATTCTTTCCTGGCTCTGCCACGAGCCTTGAGCTCGTGAGAACTTGCGCAAGTGGCTCAACCTGCTTGTGTACCCACTGGTGGCAGGAACTCGGTAAATGTCAGCTATTTTCACCATTATTAAAATTTAAAAATCCACAAATAGTACTAGGATACCCATATGTAGGGTGCTGAGCCACGGAAATGTCACAAGAATGTCAAAAAGCCACACAAAACCAACGCCAAAGATAGCAGAGCACTCTGAGCTGACACCTGGCAGAGGCTGGGTTTTGGACTAAGTCAGATAGCGGTTTACCTTCTGGCTCTGCTGTGCACCAGCTGTGTGTGGGGCTCATGGAGAAATATACCTTCTTTGAGTCTTGGTTTCCTCATCTGTCATATGATAGTGATCCACCCATGGCACAGGATCCAACATGATCATAGATTTAAAGTACCTAGCATAGAACAGAAGTCTCACAGACATAATTTCTTTTTTAGGGCTGTTGAAATGTGATCTTCAATGTTGGAGGTGGAATCTGGTGGGCAGTGTTTGGGTCATGGGGACGGACCCCTCAGGAATGGCTTGGTGCCCACCTCCACAGTAATGGGTTCATAAGAGATCTGGTTGTTGGAGGGTCTGGGACCTCGCCCCTCTTCCTTGCTCCCTCTCTCACCATGTGATATGCCTGCACCTTCCACTATGATTGGAAGCTTCCTGAGGCCTTACCAGAAGCCAAGCAGATGCTGGTGCTGTTTATATAGGCTGCAGAACCATGAGTCAATTAAAACTCTACTTTTTTTTTTTTCTCAAGATGGGGTCTCACCATGTTGGGCCAGCTGGTCTCAAAGTCCTGGTCTCAGGCAATTCTCCCTCCTCAATCTCCCAAAGTGCTACGATTGCAGCGTGAGCCACCACACTCAGCCAAATAAAGCTTTTCTCCTTAATTACCCAACCCCAGGTATTCCTCTACAGCAATGCAAAATGGGCTAATACAGGGCCCAACCAAGCTAGACCTAGGAATGGAGCTTGGGCTCCACAGATACCCAGATGGGGAATAGGAAGAGAGGAAAGAAAAAGAGGAAAACATCTGTGCTCCCTGAAAATCTATCACCACACACAATGAACCCACATCAGACCTGGGCAGGCCTCCAGCACCAGGTCCTCACCCTTCCAGTCCTCCCCACAGCCTACCCCAGCCCTCCCGCTGCCCTCCTGTGACTCCTCCTCTGAGAGGCCACTTTTTCCTTGTTGTCTGAGAACCAACTGCTATTCCCAGTGTTTACCCTTCACATGGTATTAACAGAAACCAGGTTTGTCTCCAAACAAATGTGGATGTGTGAGGGGAGGGCTTCTACCATGTGATTTGATCCATGCCACCCAGTAAGGACCAGAAAAGCCCCTGGAAGGGTTTATTCCATTTCCTTGGGGCTCATGTCTGAATTCTTTTAGATATTTCTGAATTATACTGATAACTAGTATTTAACAAGTTCTCCCTCGACACAGGCACAGGGCCAAGCACTCTATGTAGATTTTATTACTGATTTTTTGCTACAGCCCCATGAGTCCAGTGCTGTAAATCATCCTTGTTTTCAAGTTGGGTGAACAGAGGCCCAGAGCAGTGAAGCAAGTTACCCAAGATCACACAGCTAGCTAGTAACTTAATTACATCAAAGCCCAGGTCTGGCTCATATCAGAGCCTAAGGACTTAACCAGTGCACAATTCTATCCTGGAGGAATCGTCATAGGAATAATTGCTATCAAGTATTAACCTATTTTTTCATTCCCTATAATTACATTTTTTCAATACAGAGTTCAACACAAACTTTTCCTTTTAAAAAAAGAATTTGGGGTTGAAAATATAAGGAAAACGTGTCACAAATGACCGCCGGTGAGGCTTATCTTACAATAACAGCCGAATAATGCAAAACCCACTGAATTGGTTTCTTTTCCTGGTAGAAAGAAAAGGCTTCATTTGTAGGAAAAGTGGTCAGAATAGTTTTTGGTTTAAGGTACTTTTATTTTTCTGGTCAAATATGAACACCTCCCCCTTGCTGAGATGACTAATTTTGTGACATTCTCCATGTTGCTACCAGCGAATGCATCCTTGGCCAGCTCAGTGAATAATTCTGCCCTTCAAGCCCTGCTCTGCAAAACAAAAGCAACAAGCAGAACTCAGCTAGTTGATGCCAGAATTTAGTAGAATTAATAGTGATGATGACAACATGCTTCGTGTGTATATATTGCTTTATATTTTGTAAGACTCTTTTATATCATTTGTCTTATGTGGTCCTCACAATAATCCTGGGAGGGAAGGGAATGGCAAGTAGGGCTGTTTTCAATCCCTGTTTCCTTGGTAAGGAAATAAATAGATAAGCAGAGGTTTTGATAGTACAATTGTCTTATAACCTCAAGCATAAAGATGACCTTTCCAACTGTGTTGCGAAACCCATTAGTTGAAAAAGCTGACAAATTCAACTATAGAACAATACTTTCAAAATTCTGCTTGACAAAAGCAAAGTCAAAGACCAATGGCAAACTGAAAAACAATATTTGCAACACCCGTCATAGGGCAAGAAATTTTCTAATATCAATTCAAACAAACACTTAAACGTGAATATTCATAGGAGCACAATTCACAACAACCAAAAGATAGAAACAACCCAAATTTCCACCAGTGGATGAATGGATAAACAAAACATGGTATATCCATTCGATGGAATATTATTCAGCCGTAAAGAGAAACGAAGTACCAATACATGCCAGAGTAAGAAGGATCCTTAAAAATATTATGCTAAGTCAAAGAAATACACAGATTATATAAGTCCTTTTTATGAAATATCCAGAATAGATAAATCCATAGAAAATTCCATCTCTATGGTCACAGATGAGTGGTCACTAGGGGCTAGAAAGAGTGAGGGAACAGGCAGTAGCTGCTTAATAGAAAGCACCAAGTTTCTTTAGTGATCATTAAAATGTTTTGGGGTTGGGCGTGGTGGCTCACACCTGTAATCCCAGTACTTTGGGAAGCCAAGGCAGGAGGATCGCTTGAGCTCAGGAGTTTGAGACCAGCCTAGGCACCACAGTGAGACCTCTTCTCTACCAAAAAATAAACAAAAATTAGCCGAGTGCAGTTGGTCCCTGCTACTTGAGATGCTGAGGTAGGAGAATCA